ACAGAATATCCCTTTTCATGCACAACCCAAACCCGTGTGGGGGGCGGGGGGGGGGGGGGGGCAGAAGCAGAAATTGCTTCAAACTCTGAGCTCTTAGACCCCGAGAGTAAGAGGAAAATTTCCATTTCCAACTCAGTTATCCAACGTCTGTATCCATTTTGTTATGCCCATTTAACAGGAAATGGATCGTCTGGTACATCCTTGAAAGGAAAATTGCTTTATAGATATAAGATACTGCATGTTAACCTTGGACAAACAAGGTGCTCAGTATCTTAAGACTTCTTTTGCTTTCTCCCTCTGCCTTTTCCTGTCTTTCTCCCTCACTCTAGTGAACTAATGACTATTCTAAAATTTCATCTCAAGGACCAATTTTGGTAAACAAAATTTGTGGACACATTTCCTTCAGTGTTTAGGGGTGTGTGTGTGCGTGTGCGTGTGTGTGTACTCTTTGCTAAACGGCCATATGTAATATATCATTTGTTGACAGATTTCCTTTGATTTCTTCCTTTGCATGTACGTGCATAATTGTGTATCTATGTGCAGGTGTGTGCTGTATGCTTTGCAGACTCCATCTGTAAGACTATGTCCTCCAGCCACGTTCTACTTGAGTCTTGGAAGATGTTCTGCTGAGCTCCATAGAATAAACTTTAATCTCAAATAATAATATAATAATCTTATCTAAAATATTCATGGCCAGTGGAAACTGAAAGACGTTTCCAAAATAAAACTAGAACCATGAATTACTAACTAGAAACCGATCTTAAAATAAACCACAGAGCCCCAACATCTCAAAACAAAATGACTCAGACTCACATCTCTCTGCCCGACTCTCCTAAAAGAATCTTCTGATACAAGAAAGGAAATAAGAAAGTCTTAAGGTGGGTCTAAATTGAGTACATGTGCATCATGGAGCTTCTTTTTATTATATTACAGAACTGCCATTAGTGAGAAATTAGTTAATCTCAGATATAAAATATGTACACTTTCTGGAAAGAGCTGAGTGGCAGAGAGATTGAGGTTGAGAGAGAGAGAGAGAGAGAGAGAGAGAGAGAGAATGCTTAGATAACACATAAAGGCCTCTGTGAAAAAGTTGTCACTGTCCTCATTATCGAATTAAATTTCTGCTTCCTCAGCTTTGAAGTCGAAATTATGTATATCCTTGTAGGGTTCCTGATGCGTATCAAATGAGAAATTATACGCAAAAGACTTTGTAAAATTTACATGATTCAAAGGAAGTAGTGTTTCTATAGCACTTGAATATGATAATATTTAAAGAGAAGATTAAAAGAAAGATGAATTTTGTTCCTGTTAATACACATTAGGTAAGGGTTTCCAAATTCCTGAAATTATAATAAAATGTCAGTACAGAAAATATCAAGACCCTATGAAGCATAAAGGAGCATGCTGTGTACAGAGGCCATGAGGGGAGCTCCCTGGCTGCCACAGACATAATTTCTCAGAGACTGTAAGAAATTAAGTGCAGTATTAAACGCCAAATTTTAGATGATGCCTTTCAAGTAAATTTTACCAGATTTAAATTTTTTTTTTTTTACCGCAACCAAAAGTTGAGATTCTTGAATGAAAGACCAACGAGATAAGGTCTTAATAGATTTTTTTTCTTTTTAGTCTGTCTCCATTCATTATATATGTGCCAGTTTAATCTTCCTAAACATTACTTGCATCATGCCTGTCTGTTTCAGAATCCCCAGTGTCTCTGTACTGTCTACAGTAAGGGTAAATTTAAGATCTGCCACAAAATGAACCTTCCTCCAGCTCAGATTTGCTCTCAGATCTGGCCCTCTGCTTCAACCAGAATTGTCTACAAACCACACCCAGAGTTGTTCCTGGACTCCGTAGCCTTCCTCAGCTGGAATAATTGCTAGCTCTGACTTCACTCATCATGTTTTTGAAAATCCATTCCTCAAAACTCAGTATAAAACCTTACACTTCTTCTTCCTATTAAAAGCATTAGATGTTTTAAAAAATTTTCCTGACCTTTACGTTTGTGTTTTACCCTCTGAACTGAGGACTCTTCATTATCAACTCGTATGCATGTGTCAGTACTCTAATGCTACATGGGTAATCTCTTTGAGGACAAAGAGCACATCTTTACATGTGGCTTTGTCTTTGTGTATTTTTGGCCCCAGGGCTGCTTCACATGAGTTTGTCCTGAAGTGGAATCTGAGGGGTGACGAATCAGGCACCTACACACTGCAGACATCCTTGGGTGACTATCAACTGAATATCTATTAATAATAGGAGTTAGCAATCTATTTTGGGAAATGAGCCAAGAATAATTGATTTCTTAAAATAAAGCAATTTATTTTCAAAAGTGCTAGGATACAGCTTTTCTTTAAAGGAATATATGTTTAAAGGATTTCGTACTTCACAGTATACATTTCTTTTCACATAGATCTAGTCTCAATTTAATGCAGTGTCTGGCCCAGAATTTAATGTAATGATTTTAAAGTTTCTTCGTTGATTTAATGATTGATAATATAGTGTTTATTAATTACCAAGCAATATTCTAAACATGTTAAAAGCCTAATTTTCTTAGCAAATTTCTGAGGCAGGCATTGTTATTATCTGTACTTTTCAAATGTTAAACCAAGGCACAGAGGGGTTAAGTAATTTACCAAAGGCCACACAGCCAGTAAGCAAAAGACCTGGGCTTTGAAACCAGGCAATTGGACAGAAGTTAATGCTGTCAACACTATACCATGCTAGCTCTTTATTTTATTTTATAAACAACTTTATCGTAGTATATCTAAGATTTTTAATTATATACGATCAGATGCACCCAGTTTAAGCATACAGTTGAAAGATTTTTGACAAATGTTTATTTCCATGTAACCATTACATCAGTAGAACATTCGGTGGTTCTATCAACCTCTTCCCAACCTCAACTGGCATTCGCAGGTAACCACTGATCTGTTTTTGGTTGATGTGGATTAAGTCTACTTTTTCTAGAATTTCATCTAGTGGAATCATGCAGAATGTGCTCATAAGTGTCTAGCTTGTTTTGCTCAGTGTAATGTTTTTGAAGTTAGTCTATGAGGTTGCATGTTTCAGTAGTTTATTCTTTTGTGGCAGAATAGTTTCTCATTAAATAAATCTGCCAAATTTTATAAACACATCCATCAATTGATGGATATCCAGTTTGGGGCTATTATGAATAAAGATGTCAGACATTTAGGTACAAACTTTTGCATGGAAATACATATTTTATTTAACCTGAGTTAATACCTAAGAGTGAAAAGTCTTAATCATATGGTAGATGTGCGTTTAATTTATGAGAAGCTGCCAAATGGTTTTCCAAGTGGATGCAATCTATCATATTTCCACCAACACTTGGGATTGTCAGTCTTTTTAGTTTTAGCTTTTTGAGTAGGTAAGCAGTAGTATCTCATTGGGGTGTCAGTTTGCATTTCCTTGAAGGGGCAAATGATGTTTAGCATTTTTTTCATATGCTTCTTTGCATTTACATATTTTCTTTTGTAAAGTGTGTGTCGAGATCTTTTGGCGATTTTTTTTTTGTTAGGTTGAGTGACTTCTGGTTATTTAGTTATTATGGATTCTTTAATAACCTGCATCACAATTTTTGTCAGACGTGGAATTTTGAGAATATTTATTTGCATTCTCAGGATTGCTTTTTTGTTACTTTTAATGAAGGATCTCAAACAGCAAAATTTTAATTTTGACAAAGTCCAGTTTATCGATGTTTGAATAAAAGTTTGTGTTATTTATGTCCTATCTAAGAAATCTTTGCCTACTGAAAGGTAACAAAGATTTTCTCTTTCTATTTTTCTAGAAATTTAATAGCATTTGCTTTTCCATTTAGGTCTATGAGCCATTTTGAGTTCATTTTTCTCTTCATTTTTAATTTGCTGAGACTCGTTATCATGAATGAGTGTTGAATTTTATCAAAGTTTCTTTCTTTCCACATGGATATCCAGTTCTTTCAAGACCATTTGTTGGAGACACTATCTTTTCCCCATTGAAATATGTTTGAATCTATCTGTGAATTAATAGTTTCGATCTTCATTGACCCGTAAGTTTATCTTTATGTCGATATTGCACAATAATCTTGATTCTTTTTACTTTACAGTAGGACCTGATACGAACAGTGAGAATCCTCCCACTTTGCTCTTTCTTTTAAAAATGGTTTGCCTATTTGAGATACTTTGCACTGCTGTAGAAATTTTGGTATCAGTTTCTTAATTTCTATAAAAGAGCCTGTTAGAATTTGGATTGGATTGCATCAAATCTATAGATAAATATGGAGAGAATTTACAGCCTAGTAATCTTAAATTTTCCAATCGATGAATGTAATTAATCTCCCATTTCTTTAGGTATTCTATAACTTCCATCAGAAATCTTTGGTGTTTTTCAGTATGTAAGCCTTCAACATATTTTGTTAAGTTTATTCCACAAGTAATTCATAAGTTTGATATATACTTTTTAATATTCATTATCAAATCATTCACTGCATAAAATCAATTTTTATAGTTTGAACCTGTATCTAGCTAAAGACACTTATTAGTAGAAGCTTTTCTTTGCATTCTTGTCAATTTTCTATGTACACACTTATTCATATGAAAATAAAGACAATTGTACATCTTCCCTCCATTATTTTAATTTCTTTTTCTGGCCTTATTTTACTGCCTAAGATCTCCAGTACAATATTGAATAAAATGGATAAGAGTGCTGCTCATTCTTGCCTCTTTCCTAATCTTTGAGAGAAAACATTCACTTTCACTCTTAAGTATCACATTAGCTGGAGGCTTTCTGCAGATATGTCTTATCAGAATAAGTATATTCATTTATATTTTTAATTTGCTGAGACTTGTTATCATGAGTGGGTGTTGAATTTTTCAAATATTTTCCTATATATTTAATGTGTTCCTTTTGTGCCTCTAATTAATCTGTTAATATGGTGAATGACATCCTTTGTTTTTATGTGTACAATAAACTTGCAATAGAGGAATAAACAGCCAAAGTAATTTTCAATATTATATTTTTTATACATCGCTGGCGTTGGTTTGATGATATATGTTAAGGACTTCTGCGCCTATGCTCATGAGGGGTGTTGGGTCTGTGGATTTCATTTTCTTGTCTTGCTCTGATGATCAAACTCTTTTAGGTACTTCGGGTCTGGTTTCCTGGATGAGTCTGGGTGAGGCTATCGTCAAGGCTTGCCTCTCAGCTTTGCCAACCTTGATTCTAGCAGTTCTGGACAAAAAAGACAAGATCGAGGGGTTTAGGTCAAGCTACTTAGATTCTTAGGAGAATGACTGATAACGTGCCAATTTATAAAATCTCAGGGAGAAATTGTAACATGCAATGTCTGTTGCTTCCCAAATTCTTTCTACCTCTTTCCTTTGCTGGTGCCGTCTGTGTGGCTATGTGACTAAGAAAGGTGACCAGGAAAGGTGACCTTATTCTCCAGTGGGATTTGGGCCTTGTTTCCTTTAAGCCAAATATGCCTGAAGCTCTTTGAAACCATATCGAAGAGCATTGCTTCACACGCTGAGATGAAGAGTCAAAAGATGGAAAGACCTGGGTCCTCGAAGACTCGAAAACATCGACTCTACCAACCTGTTTAATTGTGAGATAAATTCCTCAATTATTTAAGCTGTTTTTAGTGGCATTTTCTGTGTTTTTGTAATAAGAGAAATAAGATAATTGTGACAAACGTTACCAAAGAGAGAAGTTTTATAATCCATCACAGCAATCAAAAAAAAAGAAAAGATACAAGTAATTATTTTTTTAATTACCTTTGAACTATTTCAGAGAAAGGAAGAGCAATGTATTAACGGGACTTCCATCGAACTGTGTGGGCTGGATGAATCATCTTTTTGCATTCCTAGGATATTGAGGATCTCGGAGTGGTCATCAAGAATCTAAACACCCTGCCAAGTAGGCAACCCGAGAGACATGCTGACAAAGTTTTCGTCTGATGCCTTCACATTTTTAAATTTCATGCTGATCTCGCTTCTCCTTGGATTTGTCACTGCAAAATTAGCAACCTCATTTTCAAAACACCCTTAGGCCATGTTATAATTTCTGTGATTTCAAATCATCTTGCATTAGTTATATTTTAGCCTGGTAACCCTCATGCAGGGGGCTCGTTAATTATACCTGGAGTGGCTGGGGCCTGGCAGAGAAGGGGAAGCTTAGCATAAGCTGAGAAACTGCTGACAGGAGCTTTGGAGGTCAGAGAAAGTATGAAAGGGCAAATTTGGAGTTAGTTGTTTTCCACAAGAAACAGGGACAAGGGGAGGAAGTTGAGACAGGGGATTACTGCGGCCTCCTAACTAAAATCTCTGCTTCCACTTTTGCTCTTCTGTGGTCTAGTCAACACAGCAGAGAGACTCTATTAAAGCAGAATCAGGTTCTGTCACTCTCAATGGCTTCCCACCTCATTCAGAATAAAAGTGGAATTCCTTATAGTGAAGAAAGGCCATGCAAGATCGGGCGAGTTACATCCCAGGCCTTGAGGCCCATCTCCACCCACCAAGCTCCTGCCATCGTGGCCCCCTTGCTGGTCTAACACATGGGCACAATCCCACCACAGAGTCTTCGCATTTGCTGACCTGCTGACCCCTTCAACTGGAGGTTCTTCTCTCACATATTTACATACTAATCCAGCAACTTCAACACTTTAAGTCTTCATTCACCTTTCTCCCCAGGAAGTCTTTTCTGCTCCAAACCGGCACTTTATCTTCCTTCATTGCCTTATTTTTCCCATGATACTTTTCACATCTTTTAAAATTTTAACGAATGAGTTAATTAATTTCATTTTCTTGTTTACTTATGCAACCACAATTGTGAGCTATATGAGAGTAAGGATTTTCATCTGGTTTGGTTCATGGCTCTATTTACTCAAAAAACTTAACCGCTCAAAGAATGTTGGCTAAATGAATGACATGCCTTGAAATCATAAACCAGCAGACCCATGACTGTGCGGTAAGATAAAGTTTGGATTTGAGGTTGAACTTCTCAGTGTGCATTAGAAATGATCTTCTACTTAAACTTTGGTGTACATGCTGGGTTGAATTAAATTTTGATGAATCTCAACCTCGCAGATTTTTATTTCTTAAAAAGCCTCTCTTTAACTTTCCTTTATATTTTTAAAATGCAATGATTAATAATGTTAGTAAGGGTTTCTCAGTCTCAGCTCTGTTAACATTTCAGGCCAAATAATTTTTTTTGTTGGGAGATGGGCTGTTTTGTTGGGGGAATGGGCTGTTTTGATGGGCTGTCCTGTGCTAGTAACCCCCTCCCCAAGATCTGACAGCCAAAAAAACATCTCCAGTCATTGTCAAATGTTCTCTGGATGGAAAAATTGCTCCTGGTTGAGAAGCACTGATGTAAATAATTTTCATATATTCCTATTCGAATAAAGGGTTATATTTTTCATAGAACACATGTGATGGATTAGAAATCATGTGCATCTCATGCTTACTTTATCAACCGTATAGATAAGCACTGTAAAAACCGGTAGCAACATGTTACATCTGTAGATGTTAAGATAAAGTTTAGGAAGAAATAGAAAATAGATAACCCCTTGTTTAACGGCCCAGGAACCCTATCACTACGGACTGATGGTGGATGTTGTGAAGTTTCTTACAGTAAAGGGCCTGGGGAAAATAATAATAATTATTATAGCATGCATTCCTTCATAATTTATACAGGTAAAATCAGATGAAAACAATACTTTGCTTTATTGGGTAAATAAAACCACAAAAGGGAAATAGGCAGCCTGGAGTCTGTGTGTAGAAGGAAGACAGTTCTTTATTCATTTGTTTCATTTGAGGGTGGCAGGTGGCATGTGTATGGAGAGTTTGGTTATGGGGATAGATTGGAGGTGTGTAAGTGGAATCCTGATGCCTCTTTAAAAAAATGATTGGTTAATTGATTGATTGATTAAAAGCCCTACTTATAGAGATACTTCTTTGTCTCCAACAGGCACCTCCATGAGACATTTGTCCATGTAGTAGTTAATATAAGGGCCCGGAGTCGCTAAGAACTACTTATGCCATAAACAAAGCTTCCAATTTGAGGATTTAGGTATCGTTCTAAGTAAATGTAAAGTTTAAGAATTATATAAGGCACTTAATAAAAAAAATATAAAATTGAATCGAAGGGATGTGACCTCAGATCTATGTGGAAAGGAAGTATACTTTGCAGTCACTTTGGGGGTGGACACCATCAAACGATAAGCTGAAAGGAAGTAAAAAGAGTAAGATGAGGATCAGGAAAAAGAACTGATAAGTGGCAGAGAATCTCCAAATGTTACCTTTTGACAACGTTTGGGTAAATTTGTTTTATACTTAATCATTTTACACAGTACTTTGACCTCATCTGTGTCATAAATATTCATTTGTGTGTTACTCAAACAATCTTAGCTATATTAACTTAATATCTTTCCTCATTTGAACAAAATAGAAATTCCAGAAAGTCACGAAGCCCAGCCTGAGAGTTTTACAAACTTCCGAGTTTGAACTACAACTGATTAATCCCCTAAATTCTTGAGTGTCAAAGGCATGTCACCAAATAGGCCACTAAAGGCACGAAGGAAGCCAAAAAAGGAAAGAGCCCCCTAAAGGAAAATGGCATTTAATTGGGAACTTTCAGACATCTGTCACTCTTTGTGACAGGCGCAAAAAAAGTCCTTCGCACATCCTGTGATGTGCAGGTGGGACAGGACTGACAGCTGAAGTTCACCGTAGCTGTGTGCAGGGAGGGCCATGGGGGGTGGGGGGGAGGGTGGAGAGGCTAATTTTGCAGATCGTGCTTTTACACTCTGAATATCACTTTCAAAAAATTGTCCGGGGCCAACTTGTAACCCAGAATGCCATCCACCGTCCATTAAAGATGTCCCACTTGATAAACCAGGGTATGCACCCACCTATGGAACGGGTCATGCAGAAAGTTGCGAAAAGAAAGATCGTGTGGGTCTCTCCGCTCCAAACAAAGCCATGTTCCATCCCTGGCCTCTCGGTTCCCATCGGTGTGCCTGCTCCTGCGGGGAGAGCCTGCCCCTGGAGAATTCTGCTTTGACTAAGCTTCCCAATCAGCGCGCGAGGGAAAGGCGCGCTCCCTCCCTCGGCCGGCCTGCGTCCTCGCCCCGCCGGCTCCGCACGGCCCTCCCATTCTCTCCACTTCCCTTCCGTTCCCTCCCTGTCGGGGCGGAATTAAGTCCAAGGCAGGATCAGGTTCCCCGCCTTCCAGTCCGAAAATCCCGCCAAGGGAGCCGCAGAGCAGAGAAAAAACCCCGAAGTGGAGCCAGGGGAAGAAAGAGACCAGTGAGTCACCGGCCGGGAGGGGAGGGAGCCGCCGCCGCGCCGCCTGCAGCCGCGATCCGGCACCTGGACGCCGAGCTGCAAACCTCGCCCCTTTCAACAAAGGCAGCCGGCGCGCAGACTGCACGTTTGCAACTCCAAGTAAGTGGAAAGGGGCGCGCGGTTCTCCAAGGTGTGTGCAAGCGAGTTTCCTTCGCCTCCTGCCACTTTTCCGGGCGTCAGCAGATGATGGTGGCTGGAGTCGGGGAGAGAGGCTGCCTAGGAGGCTTTCCTCGTAGGGGCTGCTTTGCAAAACCGATTTGCTCCTGAGGCAAACAAACTGAGGCAGATTTGGGGAGAGGGGTAGTCAGGAGAGTCGGGGCGCCCTGAGATGAGTGGAAGGCATGCATTTGTGATGTCGTGCATGCATTTGGGCAGTGTTCCTGCTACCAGCTGGGGGCCATTGCAGGAGCTTCGCTTTTCGTAAAACCTGCCTGAGTAGGTGTGTCTGTGGCTGGGGAGGGAAGAGAGAGAAACTGAGGCACCTGAGCCAGCAGGCCGCCTGTCCCCGTCTTTCTCTGCTTCTCTGGTCACCCCAGGGCTTGCTGGATCATAACTCTTAGCTGGCATTTCTAGTCGCGACGTGGGTGCTGGGTCCTCCGAGCGCCAGCTGACACTGAGCATCTTTCACGGAGCATCTAACACGCTCTGTCCTGCCTGCGGGCCCAGGGATGGTTCTAGAAACGCTTAAGGCCAAAGTTTAAAAGACACATCTTTAACCCCATCTCTCATTTGAATGCTGGTTTGAATACCTGCCCTGTAGGCAAGCATGTGAGCTTTGTATTTCACGCACATAAAGCTCGGGTATTTTTGTTACAGATTTGCCAGATCTCTTTTCTAATCGATGTTTCTAATAAGTTAACAAAATATTTTTTAACGCGAGGAATGTCTTCAACTCCTATAGTTAACACACAGAACGTAAAACTTCCTCTCTGCCTCTCTCACACACACACACACACACACACGCAAACACACACACACACATGCACACACACACGAACTCAAGAACATACACCGAGTTTCTGTACACTATCATTAACTCACCTCCATCTCTTTTAACAACCGCTTTGTAAATCCGGGGATACATTGAAAAAATAGGAGTGGCACGTGGGGGGAGGGGCAGCCATGAGAGGGGAGAAGGAACAATGTGAGGGACATCGAGTTTCAGTTTTTTAGCATCTTTCATGTTGGTGGGCTTTTTGCTTAAACTTGGGACAGAGTGTGTGGTGTGTGTGTGTGTGTGTGTGTGGTGTGTGTATGGTGTGTGTGTGGTGTGTGTGGTGCGTGTGTGTGTGGGTGTGTGTGTGTGTTGGAGGGAAGGGCCTGGGAGGAGATTCAGGAGTTCCCAGAAAGAGCTTTTGAACAAATAACATCATGAAGCAATTTTCTGATCCCAGGCAGTATGGAATTGGTGAAACAGTAGAGCCCTTGAATATTGATTATTTGGGGATGAATTGATATGTAGAACTATTACAAGGTAATGTGAGTGTCTCCTAGCATAGAAAATCAAGCTTGTATTTTCCATCTTCATTACGCTCCTTTTAAAGTAAATTATGCACTTTAAAGACCAAATTATTTAAAAAATTTATAGTCCAGTTCAATTTAAATGAAATTTGATTATCTTTTTCCCTCTTTATTCATGAGACATGAATTATTACAGAGTGGCAAAATGTGTACTCATTTAAACTGGAGGATGAGATTTTTTACTCTTTTATTTAAAAATAAACTAATGCCATTATGCTGTGCTCTAAGAAACTTTTGTGCTTTGAGTTCTCCAATTGTACTTTAAATCTTTAGAAGGTGAGCTTTCCTCTCCTGCTGTTCCTGAGCCATTATTTTTAGGACATTTTTCTCCGTGTTTTAGTAAAAGTCCTCTACAAAGAGCGCTCACCTGGAGCCACACACAGCTGTATTCCAGCTCACTTGTGGACACAATTGCATGGTACTTTCAAAGCTCCAGCAGTGAAACTGTTAACATATAACTTATCTTCTGACTTTTAAATGAGGTATTATACAGAAATGAGAATAATACATATTTAATGGTATATATACTATAACCTATTACATGTATTATATGATAATATATAATTCAATGATTTCCTAGTCCTCTTTCCATGATATTTAGAGTAATAAATTTACTATTTTATTGAAAATGTACCTTATCTGGTCTTTACATATAGCAATATGTAGCACCAAGCCACATTTTTTTAATGAGCTTTTTTTTTTCTCCAGTAGAGCCAATGGCCTGGTTTGCATTTCACAAAACCCGATTACTGGAAATAACCTGAGAGAAAAAGGTCCCCAAATAGTTTAATAGCTTTTATCAATAAAAACCAATCTTAGAAATTAAATATTTTAAGTCAAAAATTGTTTTTTCCCTTTGAAGATACTCTCGCTCTCTCATTTAAATGACATTCTCACATGCATCCCGATCAAATTCCTATTTGCCATGTGGTGTTTTTGTTACTATTCAAAATTTTCTCGGGAGACTGAGTTTAGTTGGCTTGTTCATAATGGTGTAAAAAAAGTTAACAGTGGATTGAGGGCCAAGAGTCAGAGTTCAGAATATAAATCCCATGCTCCCAACCTTTGTGCTTTTTAGGATGATGGCATAGCGATAAAGAGAGTTGTCTTTGACTTCTCTCCTGAAAGTGATGTCCAAACAGAGACCACCCAAGGTGATTGCTAAGCAAATGTGTCTTACACCTGAGCTCACCTCTGTCCAGTTTGAGGTGTGTCTCACGCTGGAGCATCAGGCTGATTCCGGGCTCTCCAAGGGCCCTCGCTCCATAGCTCCGATGCCGAGTGGGGCTTCTTTCTAAGCGTGAGGAATGTCGTCTGCTCTGGCTGCTGTTCTAATGAATCATCAAAAGATCTTTTGTCTCCCTTTGGCACAAGGGCATGTTACTGCCCGGGGTAAAATAATATTTAGATACGGACCTTTTCTTTATGAGCTGGGCCTGCTTTTTTTCCATACAGAATCAATTGGCTTGAGTGGAATTTGGGCCATGGCCTCACTTTGGAAAGATGTTCTCCATTTTTGAATGTTTATGGCCAATTCAAGTCTCCATCCACTGGGCCATTTTTCCATGCTTTTCATGCCAGGCTTCTATGTGGCATAGTTTTCCAGGTGTCATACAATCTTTCTAGATTGTCAAGTATAACAAGCCTTTGTTCCTTCCTATTCCAGTATCTGGTAAATAAGAAGTTAAAATTTCCGTGATTTAAAAGGGGTAGCTATAGTGTGACATTATCGGGGGCATTGTAATTATGGTGATATTGTGGATTTGATTATGCAGATCACATTCATCACAAGTCCCTATTTCGTAAGGGTAGGTAAGGAGTACAGCGAATAGTTCATGCTTGAGATATTTTGAGAACTAAAACTTCATGTCTTCTACTGGGCTTTATTTTGGAGCCATTTCTTCACAGGAGGTCTAGATAAAGTGACACCTCAAATAAAAAAAAGTCATCGTAATGAGTTTCCCAAAAGCAGAATCCTTAGATTGTTAAACTTCATATACTTAGTAAAAAAAAAAAAAAAAAAATCCTTAAAGGCTACAACTGCATGATTCTATTTATATGACATTTTTTGACATTTTTGAAATACAAAGTTATAGAAATGGAGAATAGCTTAGCGGTTACAAGGGGTTAGGGAGGAGGTGGGGAAAGAAGAATAGTAGGTGTGGCTATGTGGTGTGGCTATGTGGTGATGGAAATGTTCTATATCTGGACTGTATTCATGTCAATAATCTGATAGTGATAATATATGATAATTTTGCAAGATGTTATTACTGGGAAAAACTGAATACAAGGTACACAGGATTTCTCTGTGTGATTTCTTACAACTGTGTGTGAATCTATAATTATCTGAAAATAAAAAGTGTAATTTAAACAGCACTTTGGAAAATAAAGAAAATTAATGACTAGATAAATGTATAGATATGTGATAAAAGTGGATTCATTGTACAGTTAGGTACTGTACAAATGAATATGAATATCCACTATAGAATTCTTTCAACTTCTCTTCATGTTTGCTCTCAGCTTCTCAGTTTCAGTGAAGGAGTGGAGCCAGGATTACTCACCTCCTTCACACTCTCCCAGGTCCTACCTCAACAATTAATGTTTCTCGCTGCTATGGCAAGTCAATTTAACGATAATAAGCAATATTTATTGTGTATGTGCAGAAGCCTCATATTGTGCTGGCCAATGTAGTATATTTAACAAGTGCTTAAGTCCTAATTTTCTCTCTCCCTCCCTCCTCTCTCTCGCTCTCTCTCTCGCGCTCTCTCTCTCTCTCTCTCGCACACGCTCTCTCTCCCCCCCCCCCTCTCTCACTCTCTCTCTCTCTCACTCTCTCTCTAGGGCTCACAGTTTTACAATTCCAAACACTGTGTTTGGTAAATGGTACTAACTTGTGAAATTCTTTATTAGAAATACATTTAAAAGACATCTCAAACAATGAAAATCCATTATATCCCCACCCATCTCTGAAAGAAACACCTTAGAAGTCACATTCATGTTGTCAAACCAATGGTTTTTTGCATTTCTTCATTTTCCTTAACATGCAGCAATATTTTCTGCTAATACCACCTTCTTAGAATTACCTTTTACTGTAACCTCCTTGACATATTATTATCTTAATTTCTTTCCAACTTCTTTGGCCACTCCGTTCATCTTTTTTTTTTTTTTTTTTGCCCCCGCACCCCGCAACTTTCAAATGTAGATATGTATTTCCAAATATTTCCATCTCTCTCTCTTCCTCCCCACCCTCTCCACCTCCCTCTTTCACTCCCTCTTTCTCCAAATGCTTCAGTATTCATCACGAATCTTCTTTGAATTTCTATTCCAATTTTCCTTGAGAAAACTCTCAAATCTCTTCATTCTCTATTGAGTTTTAGTTGTTTTTAATTGTTTTTTGAATGACTACTAAAAGAAATGATTCGGGCACAATCCTGTTTTGCGAAAGAGATTGAAGTAAAGGACTTCGTGTTATTTTATTCTTATCCCTAACAGACTCCTACAGTATCGACTGTCCTATTATATGTTAGGTGGCGTGACAAAAATAAATCACTATGCCTTCAAGCAAATTATGGTCAACT